AGTTGTCCAGCTAATTTCTTTCTATTTTTTCAGTAGAGATGGGATCTCGTTCTTGCTCTGGCTGGTCTCAAACTCCTGAGCTCAAAGATCCATCCTCCTTGGCCTCCCAGAGTGCTAGGATTATAGGCATGAGCCACTGCGCCCGGCCTAAACCGAAGTCATAATTTTTATAGGAATTCTTATGAAATATTAAATCTGTCAGATTTACTAGTTGCAATTACATAAGAACATACACTGTAAGTCATATGTTTTTATAAATCTGTTTTCTTTTTATTGCTTACACCATTAGAATGTACATTTGAAAGAATTAAATGAAACCAATAAAAGATATTTCCTAAATATCTTTCACATAGAATTTTATTATTGTTTACAACATGTTTTTTTTTTCCCCCCTTCTACATCAGAATTGAGCAAAGTACTGCCTCTAGGACAAATCTAGCCTGCTGTTTTTGTACAGTTTTATTAGAACATAACCACGCTTATTCATTTATGTACTACCTATGTCTGTTTTCGAGCTACAATGGCAGGGCTAAGTAGTTGTGATAGAGGCTATATATGGCCCTCAAAGCCTAAAATATAAGGTCCTTTTCTTGCTGGTCCTTTCCAGCAAATGTTTGCCAATCCCTGTTCTACACTAAATGGACTATAAAAGATTATCACATAAACACAAAAGTCTAAATCTCTGTCTTATAAATTTCTCATTGAGAAACTGTCCTCTGACATTAATTCTTTGGGCCAATAATCAAGATCTCCTTCACAGCTCAAACACAATTTTTTCTAAGAGGCATCTAAATTAAGTAAGAAGTTACCATAATTTATAGATCATTGACCAATTATTCTATCAAAAGCTCAGCAGCAGAAGTTTCTCCCCAGCCCCCCAGGATCAGATAAAAAAATTGCTTATGAATGTGGAGAAAGGATAATAAAAAGGAAAAAAAAAATCAGGCCCTTACCAAATTCAATGAAACAGTATGGTCTGACAGCAGTATTTGTCGTCATCATGTTGTAAGTAGTAATGAACTCCTTCTGAAGCTCATCCAGGAAAGAGAAGGCGAGAACATTTGGGTAATTTTCAGTGCACAACATCATGTAGCTCACTCCCAGAGAGCTAATAAAACTATAGTGTAAAAAACATTGGTTTTAAAATTTCAAATTAAATCAAGGTAATTCACTGTTTCACAAGACTGGTTCTGTACACCATAAACTGCTGCTTCAGTGGCAATGAAGATATTAACATTTATTATACATTCCAGCAAAAAATTTAAAGGAACCAAAATATAGTACTATTTTAAGTTGTGGTTTAAAAACAGCAGACAAAAAAATGGAACGTACTACAGAGGGACAACCACTATGGTTCTAACACTTCAGTTACTTATCATTTGGAGTAGAAAGCAGGGGAAAGAATACACAAATATAGAAGTGTTATAGACAGCTTCAAGTCTAACCCTTCAACACAGTGGAACTTACCCACTTTTGAGGTAAGAGCCCTTTACAGATTCTGATGAAAGTTATGTACACTCTCCCCAGAAAGATGTCCAAACAACATAGAACTTTGCACACCATTTCAGGGTGGTCACTGACCTCTTGAAGTCATCACTGACCCCAGAATCAAATCCTCTACTTCACACAGCAAAGAATTATGAATGATTGGTGGGAAAAAAAGGAGGAATTTATGAGTTTGATAACAATAAAATAACATAAAAGGGATAGAAATGAGGACTCTTGCTTACAGCAGAATACTGAGAGCTGACTGGTAAACGTGAAGGTAGTGCCAGCACTGGAAAAATCAGCATTTTGCAACCAACACAGAAAAAATTGGATCATGTAAGGACAATCATGGATGCTAAATCTAGGGGGAAATTTTGACGGAGCAGTATATTTGCATGGTTTTAAATTGGCTTCCCATGGATTGCTTATTGCAAAGAGAAAATATTACACAGTTGAAACTAGACAACACCTTGACTAAGTATTCTAACATCACTCATAAGGAGCAGATGGACATCGTCTGCCTCCAGATGTGATATTCTGATAAAGACACATTGGCTACATAGTATTCTGGCTAAGAATGCATACCTGAATCTAATCATAAGGAAACATCAGAATAATCAACATTCTATTTTTAAGAAGGAGAATGTTGTAAAAAAAGAAATCGAAATGTTTCTAATCAAAGGAGGCTAAAGAGATAGACAACTAAATGCAGTACCTAACCCTAGTCCATACAGTTCCTGTGCCAGAGAGGGGGAAAAAATGCTATCAAGGATATTTGTGGATCATTGACGAAAAAGGAAAACAGGCAACAGATTAAAGTATGGTATCAATAGTAAATTTACTAAAACTGATAAATGTACTGTAGTTAAGTAAGAGAATATCTTTAATCTTAGAAAACACACTGTGAAGTAGTTAGGAAGAAAGAGGGATGGTATTTGTGTTTCTCTCAAATGGTTCAGACAAAAAATACATCAGGTAGATAGATAAAATATTAAAACAAATGGGGTAAAATGTTAACAAAAGGTGAAACTGGGAATAGATATTATTTGAACTTGTCTCATTCATAAATTTCATACAACTTTTCTGTAAGTTTAAAATTATTTCTAAATAACAAGTTAAAAATCAAAAACAAAAACGTCTACTTTAGCACTGAAACATTTAAATTAACCATGTTCTATGGAAAAAAAAAAACTTTTTTGAACATCGCATATACCACCCTATAGTAAATAAGCAGAGCACAGCACACAAATTAGCCTTTTTTAGTGAGTCACCTAAACATCCTTGTATAGTACTGTCAACACAGCTGGTCAGACCAGGGGCAGTAAACAGAGTATATAGGATGTAACTCCCCACTCCTATGCCAGACACTGCTAATCTATCACACAACCTTTACTGCCAATCCTTGATCCATACTGGAGTCACCTCCTCTTTTTTTTCTTTAATAATGTACAGGCAGAATTTATTTTTTTCGATTGAGTGTTTAGAATATGTTCACATGATTCAAATTTTAAAAGAATAAAAAAATGAAAGGGTATACTGCACTTAAAGCATCTTATCTCCCAACCCTGCTCAATAGTTCTCCTTCTCTCGGGCAATCCATGCTGTTATTAATTTCTATGGGCCAGGTGAGGTGGCTCACGCTTGTAATCCCAGCACTCTGAGAGGCCGAGGCAAGAGGATCGCTTGAGCTCAGGAGATCAAGACCAGCCCAAGCAAGAGCGAGAACCGCCTCTACTAAAAATAGAAAAAATTAGCCAGGCAACTAAAAATAGAAACAAAAAGTTAGCCGGGCATGGTGGCGAGTGCCTGTAGTCCCAGCTACTCGGGAGGCTGAGGTAGGAGTTTGAGGTTGCTATGAGCTATGCTGACGCCATGACACTCTATCCAGGTTGGCTGAGCAAGACTCTGTCTCAAAAAAAAAAAAAAAAAAATTTCTATGTATCCTTTCAGAGAAAGTGTGTGCATATGCAAGTAAATATGTATATGTGTGCATATATATGTGTGTGTATACATGAATCTTTTTTGAACTACCACCCTAGGCAGCCAAATGGTGTGGGGTTGGCACTTATTAATACTCTATGACTGACTAATGGTGTGGAATATACTAGTGCTGAAATTGTGCTGGTCTTATGCTTCTAGAGCAACCTGGAATTCCTTTCTGAAGTTCCACTTAATACACAGTCATCTGGTGCAATGTCAATGTTTTTCAAAGTACAAGTTGTTACCTATTAGTAAGTCATAAAATTAGTGAATTACAGCGCTTTCTAAAAATTTAAATAGAATATAACAGAAAATATCGAATCACATATTGTTTCATAAAGCTTTTTAGTTTCCTACATGTATATATGTACTGTTCACAAAGTAAAATGTATTTCTTAAGGATCATAGTCAAATTTAGCCGTTCCCATTGCATTTTTCTACAATATCTAAATCAAAGTCCAAAATATGTTTTCCCAAATGATTTTCTCTTTCCAAAAAAATCTTCAGTGATTATAAAAATTCTTTGACATGTCATTAGCATTCAAATATGCTGCACAATAACTTGAATAACTTGAACACAATTGGTGACTGGCTTCTATGCTCTGGGAATTCCCAACTGGCTAGATAGAAGTTATTAATATTTCACTATCCTCCAAAAATATGACTGAAGTTTTTCAACCCCATTTTTTGTGTTATGTCAGGGTTTTACTGTATTTCCATATTAACAGAGTGAACCACAGACACCTACATAACAGTTTATCCCAAATGGTTTGTCTTGCTTGTGCTAAATTTAATTAGAGAATTGTATGCGAAATAAAGGAAACCCTATGTTTTTAAGATTGTATGTTAGCATTTTCAGGGAATCTTTATTTTGCTATAATTACATGATACTCTCTGAAAAGGCTATAAAGTGTTGTACAATATTATGGTTCTTCATAGTGAATTTAGGCTTATCATGCTTTATTTGAAATGCAAAGCCCATTTCCCAAAAGTAAACACAGCTCAGCTGATTTGTGTTTGTAATAAAAAAAATTTCTGCTTTTTCAACTATCACGAGGACAGATTGAAAGATTCCCACCATTTCATTGAAAACCACTCATGAAATAGTCTAAAGTCACGACAAGCATACCAGTTTATACATGTTTTAGTCATGTTGATTAGGTTCACTTAGCTCACATTTTATAGACAATCTGGCAGTTATCCCTCTGCCTTGAGGAGAAAGAAGAGAAATAGTAGTAATAGTAATGGCAGCACGTACAGTTTACTGACCGCTTAGTATGAACAAGGCCGTCTGCTAAGTACTTTACATATTTAATTTCATTTTCACAATAAAGGGGCACTACTATCTCCACTTTACAAATGAACAAACAGAAGCTCAGAGAGGTTCAGTAAATTACCCAAGGCCACACACCATTAAGAAGCAGAGCTAGAATAAATTTAGTCCCGATTCCAAAACCCACATTCTTTCCAAACACACCACCAACTTCCATATAGTATAGATTAACCAATTATGTCCTAATTCACCAACAGTTTTTCACCTTTTCCAAGCCAGGCTTTAGGTTTCGGGTCAGTGAGTTTTCAACATATCTCTACTTTAAAGAGAGGGATATTTTCAGGGGCCATGTAGAATTACTCACTTCTGTTGTGAGTACCCCCAGATGGCTATTCAGTCTAACAGACATGTCTGTTCTCTCTTTATTACTGTCACTCCTGAAACATACATACATACACACCCACTCTCTCTCTCTTCTCTTTTCTCCACCTTGAGCACAATTTGTAAATTCTCATTTTTTTTCCCTACTTTGCTCTAATTTCTTTTTATTTCCCTTCCATTTCTGGGCTTTGGTGCCAATGGAGCACCAAAACTACTCTACAGCTACTGCCTTTCTTCTGCCCAAGGAATTCATCCAATTTCATTACATCTTTGGTTCCCCTCCCTGGAACATGCACCAGGAACTTCTTTAGGATCAAGTGTATCCTGAACAGCTAAGGCCTGACAGAAGTCCAAAAACCAGATAAGGGGGATGGTTAACTTCTTCTAATCACTTTGTTAAAAAGCTAATTCTATCATATGTCCAAGCCATCCATGAGTGATTCCTAAAGTCCAACAAAATGAATACATGGTTTCAGACATTAAACTTTTTTTCATATCTAATTTTATTTACAAACTGTCAAAGAGATTTTACACATCACCAATTAAACACTAACATTATTATGGACAATGCTAGCCTGTTGCACCAAACTGAATAATTAGTAAAAGCAACGATCTTCCCCTCAACAGATAGTAGAACATCTAGCACAGGTCTAGCATTCTACTGCATAGGATCTGATATCAAAGACAAAGTCCCTGCCTGCCAGGAGTTTGCAATACAATCACTGGGGATGTACTTAAAACAGCAATATACAAAACAAAACAAATATATATAATGGTATTTTATAGCATGCTAAATGACAAGGTATATAGCAAACTATTTATAAATTGATATAATATTGATATTGCATATAATTTTCACTCTACAATTGTACCACTACAGATAGAAAATCTGCTTATCCTTTGTAGCCGCATCTGCCCAGTGAATAGCTTTCCTGGGTGCAGAAAAGTTCTCCAACAGGATACACCATCTCTACTCTGTTTTATTTGCTGGAAAA